TGTTTGGGCGTTTGTTCAGTTTCTTGAATCTATAAATGTATATCTTTGGCCAAATTTGAGAAGTTAAGTTTTCAGAAGTTTTCCAGTATGTTTTTGAGTACTTTTTCAGCCCCACTCTCTTTGTCCTCTCCTTTCACGACTCTGATATCACAAATGCTGGGTCTTTTCTTATCATTCCACATATCCCTGAGGCTCTGTTAATTTTTCTTTTCATTCAATTTTCTTTCTGTTATTTAGATTGGGTAATTTCTATTATTCCTTCTTCCAGTTCACTGACTCTTTCCTTTGTCCCCTCCATTCTGGTATTGAGCTCATCCACTGAATTTTTATTTTGTTTATTATAATTTTCAGTTCTAAAATTTCAATATGGTTGTATTTTATAGCTTCTATATCATTGCTGAAACTTTCTATTTCTTTACCGTGACTTTCTATTTTTTCACTGTGACTTTCTATTTTTTCATTTGTTTCAAGAATGTTCATAATCACTGTTGAAGCATTTTTATCATAACTGCTTTAACATCTTTGTCAGATAATTCTAACATCTCTGTCATCTCAGTGTTAGAGGTGGGGCTAGAAATCCAAGTTCCTCATTTGGCCTCCATTGATACCCAATTGGGAGAGTGCTCCTCATTACTGCTTGGTGGGTTCCAGTTCCAAGAGGAGGCTTCTACTCATACCTCCTCGGCTAGGTGAGGTAGGAGTTCTCTGTTACTGCTCCCAACATGGCCTCCACTGACACCACAGGAAGAGACAGGTGGCCTTGTTATTGATGGTGAAAGTCCTGACTCTCTACTAGGCCTCCAGTGACCCCCACCTCAATGGGGAGTGGGAGGGCTACCTCATTACTGATGGGCGGGGTGTAAGTCCAGGCTCCTTCTATGCTCTCCACTGTCACTGCAGGCTCAGGAGTCCTCATTACCACCTGGCAGGGATGAATGTCTCGGCTCCCTAGTTGGTCTTCTCTGACACCACCCCTGTGGGAAGAGGAAGGGTTCTGGCTTCTCCTTACAGTCAACAAATTTGGCAGTCTAAGCTGCCCACTCAGCCTTTGCTGTTGGGGTTGGGGGATGAGACCATAGATTTTTCTGTGGTATTTGCCTGGAGTAGAGCCATCTAAAAGTTTTATGTCTTGCTTAGGCTGCCCCTTTCTCCTCCCTTGGCTTGACAGATCAGGTGTTTTTTGGGGTTTTTTTGTCTGCGATTGTTGGCATTTTTAGGCTGCCAGCTTCTTCAGCAAAAAGTCCAGGATATATGAGGGGAAAATAAAACCCAGGGTCTAACCACATGTTCTTCCTTGCTTCCTAAAGGCCCTAAAGCCAGTTTTCCTTCTCTCCACCTTTCAGTCTTCTTATGTTTGTTTTAAAGATAATGCCTAAGATTTTAGTTCTACTTAGAGGGAGGAACAGAAAAAAGTATGTCATCTCCATCTTCTTGAAAGCAGAACCCAACTCTTTGAGAGATCTTAAGCAACAAAGTTCTATGTTGGCCTTTTTATTTAGACAGATAACTGTAAGTGAGGAAAGCTCAGAAATTAGGCTTAGGATAGAGATGGCCTAGAAGGGAGTGACACTAAAGGCAGGAGCATTTGTTAGAAAGTGCTCTAGACTGAGTATATGATGATAATCTGAAATGAGCAACTGGAATGCACAGGCACAAATCAGACCAGATGCTCAAAGAGAGAATGGACACCAATCAACACGACATACTTGTGCATACCAACTGAATATCAGCCTTGAATATATGGCAGGAGGCATGGAAAAGACAGGACATTTTGGAGCAATAATAAAACATAGATTCAACAGAATGCAATGACCAACCGAGTATGATATATAAGGATAACGAAGTTAGAATCACTCCCAGATTCTTAGTTTGGATGACTGAGTGGATGCAGGTAATATTAACAAAACTGCAGAGTACATGGAAAGAAATGTGTTTTGTGGGTAACGGTGAAAATATTGAGTTCAATTCATGTCATCTTGAGCATAAAGTGCATATGGACCATCTGAAGATGTCTAACAAATGAGTTAGGTGCTCAGCAGCAAGGTCAGATACAGAAAGGAGGAGTTAGCAGCCTTGGTTTAATTAGTAATACTCAAATCCTACTGCATGGAGAATATCCAGGAAATATAAGCAGAACGAGAAAAGAGGGCTAAGAATAAGACGCAACTAAACCCCAATGTTTAGGACCGAAGTAAGAGAAACCTAAGAGAGGAAAGGAGAGAGGAAAAGGAGGACAAGCCGCCAGGGAGGTAGGAAGAGAAGAGAGGAGTCCAGTTCAATTTAGTTCCATGAGCATTTCTTGAGTGCTTTGTGTATGTTATGTGCTGTGCTGGGGAACTGGCTTTGAGGATCTCACGTTCTACTAGATATAAACAGATCATTTCTGTACAGTATGGTCTGCTCAGTGACAGACATATGCTCAGGGGGCAATGGAATCATGGAAAGAGGTACCGAACACAGCCGAAGACTGTGAGAGGAAATTTCAAGTGATGACAACATCTAAGCAGAGTCTTCAAGGATAGTAGGAATTAACTAGGTAAGGAAAGACAGAGGGAAAGTCATGCCAGGCAAAAGAAATGGCCTGAATAATAGCAAAAGGGCATGGAACTCAAGAGAGGAGAGAGAATCCTGCAGGGAGCAGTCAGCAGGGTTGATGCCACTGAGAGAGAAAATAAAATCAGATTGATAAGGGCCCTTTGACTGTGTCACTTATGAAGTCACTGTTGACCCCTGCTATAGTAGCTTCTATGAAGTGACATGGACAGAAATTGGACTACAGTGGGATGAAGAATAATTGGAAGAATATGAAGTTCAGACAGCATGAGCAGGGTATTTTTTCAAGGAATTTAGTGGAGAAGAAAATAAAGATGGGCTAGGTAGAAGTGGGCAAAGGTCTAAAAGGCTTTGTTTTCTGATCAGAGAAAACTGAAGATGTTTACAAGTTGTAGGAAAGAAACAAGAGTGCAAAGAAAAGGTATAAAAATGTAGCTTACTTCATTCACTCTTTCACACAACAAATATTCATAGGGCTTCTACATTGTTCCTGAGCACATCATCCCAAGATAAAAACAAACCACCAAGCCTCTTTTATGGTGTTAAAACCATGTTTTAAATAAACTTAAGAAATAATAAAAGGCCAATGGTAAATGCACAAAAATTTTATGTACTTCAGTTCTAAAGGCAGCTTAATACTTGTAAACATAAATACTTATAAATATAATGGCACCTTCAGCTCTGTCACATTTATGTTGTAATATCACAATTCATTAGAAGCATGCAGTGTTGAAGTTTATTTTGATTACTTCAAGGGGAATGATTATTTTAATAAAAACATTTAATAAAAACATTCTATCACAAGGACTTCAGTATAGAACAGCTTTGTCAAGATTATTTTATGTTTTAATTATTACAAACACCACAATGTATATTAAGTCTGCAAAGTACAAATGCAAAGTACAAAAGACGTGGAGTAGTGTGTGAGGCGTTAATACTTGGGTCAAAGTCTGCCTCAATATCTCTGAGCATTCAGAGACAGAAAACCAGCCAGGTAAAATGAAGGAACACTATGTCTTTAAATGGTGACTGGGACTAGCAGACTTCCATGAAGATAGAAAATAGTCTCCAAATTTTTCAGAATAATAGAGTTGCAGAATTTTAAGATTGTAAAGAACCTTGATGTCATCTAATACTATTGTACACACCCCACATATGAAATTCCCTTCTTCACATTTCTTGCCTGATATTGAGAGAGTTTAAGTGAAAGAGAGCCTTCTATGTAGAGTTGCCTATTCTACTACTGGATAGTTAAATTGGTCTCTGATTATTCCCAGAATACAGGTCCCTGGAACTCTACATTATTACACTTCTTCCTTTATATGTGGCAAATCTTTAAATATAAAAAGATACTTGACATATATGCACACTAAATATAATATTTTTCAGACTAATCATCTACAATTTCATCCTTTTCTTATATGACATTATTTTCATGCTAGTTCCCTTCTTCCAGATGCTTTCTAATAAGTTAATGATTTTTTCCTCCTCCCCATTAAACTGAACTCAAATTTCCAAATGTTAAAGAATAAAATAAAATTATAACAGTGCATATGGTATTTTTTTTAAAGCAATCCTAGCAACCCCTATGTTTGAACCATGGATAATTATAATACACAGGGATTTGATTACATAAACTGCAACCAACTCAAGTTCCCCTTACTTCATTTCTGCAACTATTTTTAATATAAATATGACTGTAAAGATTTCTGTATTTTCTAGTCTTGTGCATTTTGTCCCAAAAGTCCAAGATAATTTGGAATACTGATTTAATAAACTATCATTTTGCTGTCCCTCTAAAATTTTGATCTCCTACAAATCTGATAGGTATGTATTCTAAGTATTCAGATAAGGCATTGATAAAATTAAATAGAATAAACATATGAGCAGAATTTTCTAGTATACACACAAAAATCTTATTCCTAGACATTAATCCATGCAACAGAACGTTAAAGTAGTTATTTATTCAGCCACAAATCTGGTCAGTCTATGATTCTCTCCCTTATACATATAGCTATCATCAGAAACCACCAAAAATATCTAGCTAAAATCAAGACACCATACATTTGGAAATCCATTAATCCTATAAGAACACAAAAAGGCAAATCTATGTTGTTTTATGATAACAATTTTTTTTCTAAAACTCTTAAATCAGTATCAGTTTGATAATATTTTCTAGAAATCTGTTAGGGATAGACATCAAGCTTGAGGTTGTATTTTTATATTTTTCAGAATATAATTTTTATGGCTTTGTTCAACACAATTTAAATAGCTGGCTATTATTTTTATATATCTCTCTTTTGAAATCATATATTTATCTGGAAGAAGAGACAAAAATCTAAATTTTTGCCCCATCCAAAGTTTTCTGTTACGACTTAGGACTACTTCTCAAAAAATTTCAGTAAAATAAATATTATTTATATGTGGTATTAATTTTATTTTATTACCTCATATAAAACTGTTGTGTTCCCATGCAGAAGAGGTCCATAACAGATATAGGAATGTCCGACAACCCAGCCTAAGTCAGAAGCTGCCCACCATACCTAGAAAATCAGAAGATAATAAAATGCATATACCTCAATCAGAGAAATGTCATGTAAAATGAATTTAAAACCATGATTACCTCTCCAGGCTTAAGTCCATATATAGAAGACATTGTCCAGTTTAACATTACGGCATATCCCCCCGTGGGCCTAACCACACCCTAAAAAAGAGAAAAAATGAAGCTAAAATCAATAAACAACATGTTAAAAGATTCTCTGTCTTCATACTAACCACCTAAAAAAAGTTCCTTTTTATAATATTTTATATTCTATAAGCTACAAATCACTCTGCCTTTCATATAATTGTATCTGAATCACTTTTTCTTTGGCTCCTCCAATAATAAACACAGAATAAATTGTCCACATCAGTCCATTTGTAGAATCCATTCTCACAGATCATTCTTGACCTTCTAGAGAAAACTTATGATTTCACAGAATGACATACAGCAAAAACATTTTCCTGTGGTAACATAAATAATCAACATTACATTTTCAGACATATTTCCAGAACAGAAATGGAAACTCTCAATTCAAGTGCACAGAAAGGTCAATGGTAACTGTGTACATAAAACATAGACTAACATAAGGATGTCTATTCCTTAATATTATTAAATAATAATAGGATGCTGAGAGGAAACAAAGCCATATTCTAACCTAGTCTCATTACGATGCTACCCTGGGAATCACACTACCACAGGATTAGAGCTGAGCAATTCTTTAATGATGAATCCTGGAACTCTGAGGAATCAACCCTGATGAGTTGGATCTAGGCTGAGAGATTTGCCTTATATTACATTTTAGGCAAAAGTAGGGATCATTACATCACAGTACTACAGTTTTCGTGAATCAGTTTCTAGCAGCTATCCTCCACTGAACCGAACATATTCAACTCTTTGTTGTTGTTAGTGCCCTGAGTGGATCCCAACTCCTAGCAACCCTGTGTACGGCAGAGCGGAACCCTGCCTGGTCTTTTTGTACCGTCCGCTCACCTTCTGGCGCTGTTATCAGACAATGCTCCGGTGCTATTCATAGGGTTTTCATGGCCAATTTTTTTGGAACTGGGTGCCCAGGTCCTTCTTCCTAGTCTGTCTTGGTCTGGAAGCTCTGCTGAAACCTGTCCACCATGGGTGACCCTGCTGGTATTCGAAATACTGGTGGCATGGCTTTCAGCATCACAGCAACACGCAGCCACCACAGTATGACAACTGACAGACGGGTGGTGCAGTTCCCCGACCGGGACACAAACCCAGACCACAGCCACTACAGCACTGAATCTGAACCACTAGACCACGGTTCAACCATAACACAAGATTAATATTTGAAAACTGGGCACAAGGGTCACCATAAATAAGAACTGATGGTAAATTTAATCAAGAATTTCATTTATTACTTCACTATAAACATTAATCATCATTGGCTAAAAAAGAGTTAACAATGTGAATATTCAGAGCGAGGAGAATGCTTGCTAAGAAATATGTTATATTTCACTCACATATATTTTGAAGCATCTTTTAGTAATTATAATTGCCCTGTGCAGAAAATAATTATTTTACCTAAAAGGGCAAACATAGTCCTAATTAACAAATATGCTACTAGCTGTACCTTTTGGCATAGCTCTGCAACTGTAACACAAAGACATGAAGCAGGAAAATAAAAAAGAAACCAACTTTCCATTAGTTACTAAAATTGCTGCTCTCTTCAGGTACCGCTAAGAAAACAGAGGTATCAAGCTGTGGAACACATTTCATCTGCCAGCAGCAACACCTGGTCTCTTGGCAAATATCACACACAGCTTTGTTGGCATTTGACAGCTATTTTCTAGGTTGTATGACACGGTTAGCACACAGCTGGCTCTCTTGATCACCTTGGGAGTAACAGAAATCATAAGCCCCTGCCGGCAAGTCTCACACATGCATTTTCCCATGTAAATGGAGCAGCTCCTTCCCCAGTATATTCTGCACTATCTTCCATGTACTTTGCTAATTAGTTTGTTTTACTGAGAAGGCCTTTTCCTACGGTTCAACACCCTGATGAAATTAATATTAATCAACTTGTAAACACTCTTTTCTAAAACTTTTTATTCATTTTGTACAGGAGAAAAAAATGAATTTTTTTTCATAGACAATATGTTATTCATATATTATTATAACTGGGTAAATTTTTAAATTATATGGTACAGCGGGTAAGATGAACCAACTGAAAGTAATAAAAAGGAATAAAAGGCTAGGGAGAACATAAATGAGTATTAATTCATTTGTAAAACTTAGAAGATAATTTAAAGGATGGGTTATCAAATTTCTATTTACCTCTCAAGTGGACACTTCCTTAAAGAATATTTACCAATGTTGCTTTGTCTGTAAAATGATAGATACTTAAATCCATTTGACCCCCAAAAAGTGAGATTTAAAAATGAGACCAGGCATGAAAAAAATTTTTAAATTATAGAGGCTAAAATTTAATATCTTATTAATAAAATTATTTCCTTAGTTCCAGCAATTATTGCTTTTTATTTTTCCCTGTGCTAATACCACCCAAAAGGCAGAAATGTCAAAGTAATTAGAGGTTACCATCAAAGATTCTCATTAAAAACAATTAAAATGGAACTAAAGGAAAGAGAAAAGCCATAATGTCTGTTTTTCATTGGTCTTTGATAGCCATTTATTTTTATTTATTTTTTTTAATTATTATTATTTTTTTGGTGAGGAAGATAGACCATGAGCTAACATCCCTTGCCAATTCTCCTCTTTTTGCTGAGGAAGATTAGCCCTGAGCTAACATCTGTGCCCATCTTCCTCTATTTTGTATGTGGGATGCCGCCACGTCATGGCTTGATGAGCGTTGCATATGTCCATGCCTAGCATTCGAAACTGCAAACCCCAGGCCACCAAAGCAGAGCACACAAACTTAACCACTATGTCCCTGGGCTGGCTCCCACTTATTTTTTATTTTTCTAAAGGATGAGTATAAAAATTTTCATCAAGCATCATTTTACCATTCATTAATCTAAACTCTAGATCTGAAATTTGGTCTTGCCTGCACAAAATATTCAGATGATAGCTTTCAATTTTCTGAGTATTTGCTATGGCATAGAAAAAGAAGTGCATAATTTCATATTCTGCATGTAGATCTTTCATAAGAAGTTTAAAAGTAAAAAAAATTGAAAGATTAAGTTTAAAAAGAGAGTTTATTATAAGATTAATACATGACTAAAATTAAGATAATAAAGCATTTTTTTGTTTCTTCTTTGTAATCATATTTTCCAGGTAATGATAATTAAAATGCAAAAGATAAACCTTGTTCAGCCTCTGAAAACACATAAATCATGCTCAAAAAAATATATCATTATATTCTAAGTATGCAAAATTAATCAGAAACTAAAAATGGTATTTTAAAGTATATTTGAAATCTTGAACATGAGGTAAAAATACTTATTCAACATCAATGCTTACCCCTAAAACACAAGCAAGCTACATTTTACTCTTTTGAATCTGTTATCACTTTCTTTACATACTTATACTCTATCTACCTTAAATGTAAAGACATTAGATGACCTGGGATATTCTCAAAAAGCCCTGTAACCTGCCAATATACCGCTCTGGTTTTTGTAGGATCAGCCATAATCCTTAAAGTCTTCTAGAGAACTTGAAAGACATTCAGGTGGGAATAATACTCCGTGCCCCAAATAAAGACTGGAAAGTGAATTCTATCTCAGAAATAGGAAAGGAGACAACATAAAGGTGCTCATAAAAATTAAAAAAAAAAAAACACTTTTAATGTATATAGGTATTTAAAAAAATTCAATCCATACAAGTAAAATTAAAAGCTGATAATTAATCACCCAGAAATGGGACCACAGTTATCACAGATGTTCTTTATGATTTCCAGCTTAATGAGCTGCCTTTGAAGACAGGAAAGCCACAAAATATCACAAACGGGGTCATTAAAGGAAAACAGAAAACACGTCGGTATCAAGTCTGCATATCAAGTGTGGACGGTTTTGGTTGCCACAACTTAAGAAAAATATAGTTGGAATCATATGGGTTGTAGCGGAAGGGTAAGGAAGATTGAAGTGTGAGGTAAGATTCTTTTAATTGAACTATAGAATTCTGAAATGCAGATCTCAAAATACTCAAGTGAATCAAGTTTGAAGTACATGACAAAAGTTCATACTTTCTAAGTTGAGCCCCTCTATCATCGTACTCTGTAATATAGGCTTATACAAGACAAATATACATATTTACATACATAAAATGTGTTTATTCACACATACAGATGTAAATAGACATGTGTATGTGTCTAGATGTATGTATATATATGTATATGCTTATGTATGTATGTATATGTATTTTATACACACACAAACATACATATTTCAATTCACCCTGACAAGTCGGGAAAAAAACAAAACAAGAAGAAACAGGAAATAAATATTTTACCTGAAGAAAAGAAATCCATCACTAAATGATAATTGGAGTCAGTGAGTTGAAAAATAAAAGGCATGGTTCTGATTACTTAAAGAAATCCAACACATTGACAACATTCTTGTTCTGATAGCGGCTTTACAGAAGATATCCCCTCTTTCTAGAATGAGCCTCCACCTCCTTCCTGAACCTGGCTCTCTCCTACCTCATTACACAATACTTAAAGACATTGTGAAAGTGCACCTCTTCTGGAAGCTGTCCGATCCCACTTTGTGTTAAACATCTCTCCTGGCCTCTTGCACAGCCCCTGCCTGCCACCTCCTCCGAGCACTGACAGCCCGGCCTGGTGCCGTGTCTCCTCCAGCACTCCGAGTGCTGTGAGGAGAATGCCTTTATACCCGCAGCACAGTGTCTGGCATAGAATAGGCATTCCATACATTTGTTGACATTACGTGAGTGAATAGTAGAGTGAATAAGCACATGTATGAAAAATATAATTCCTTTTCGAAATACTCTTCCTGGTTCAGGAGAAACCCTTGAAACTTGCAGAACTTAGTGAATCATGTTAAGAGAAATGGAATGGTTCCATTTGGGATATTTCATCAAACACAAAATCTCTTGCTACAGGCTTTCAGATGACTCTGAAGCTGCCTCTGTGGAGGATATTTTAGCAGCAGTATAATTTTTTATTGATCTGAACAACTGTGAGATAAGGGGCAAACGTGTAGCAAGTCAGCATTTTATCTGCAAGAATTATACCACAGATAAAAAAAAAGTTCACTGCTTTTTCTATTTGACTTTTTTTTTCCTAGGGTAACATGTAGGAATAAAAGTGATGTAAGTTGTGTAAATGTACATCAGGACACAAGGCCTTATCACCACCTTTCCATCATGCCTTCCTTCCAATCCGTTGCTTTTGGTTTCTTTTACCCTTTTCCTGTGGCACTGGACTTGTTTTGTTTTTGTTTTTGGTTATCACCATCCCTCCATGATATCAAGCTAGAAGAAGACAAATATTACCATCACTAAATCCCCCACTCCCAAAAGGACACCCTGTCCAGACGAGGGATTCTTCTATTGTGTAGTGCTTTGAAGTATCTTGAATACAGGCACCCAAACCAAACAGGATAGAAGCCCACAACAAGACAGAAATGCATGCAGAGCAGCACAGCGGTGGTTGTGGAATATTTGCTGCAGCTAACAGATTAACCTGTCACACAGCAACCTGACAAATCCAGGGTTGGCAGATAAGAGATGCAAATATGCCCTAAATATATCTGCAAATTCTAACCAAAGAACAGATTGTCTTATGTGTGTCTTATATATGTCTATGAGAAACGAGCATTTTTAAGAGAATATTTTCATGCACTCACAACATTACTTTTCCTCATGAAGATCAAAGATCGAGAAAACAAACTATAATGATGACATAAAATTTATATTTAAATGCTTCATAAATGCATGTGTGCTCATCTTTCCTGAACTTCTATTCTGGGAATCCCAATATTAAAATTTCAGATCCCATTAATCCTGATTATACTTACCAAAAATGAAGTGAGGATCTTATGAATAAAGAGGAGTCTGGGAACTAACTGGAGAAGTAAGAGATTCTGAGGATTTACCATGGCCCAATTTTAAGGTTAGTGACAGCAGATTCAAAGATGTATGAAATATATTCTAAGACCTTAGAGAACATGCAATGTTATGAAGGTAAGAAAATAAAAACTAATATGTATAACGTAGGATAGATAAGTGACATAAAGGTTTGTTGGCAATGTATAATTTCAATGCAATTGAAATTCTAAAGTCCACAAGACGGATGAGAGAAGTATTTCCGAGGGACCTTGAGAGACACTACCTTCTTTTGCCATTCTGCATGTCCTACTTTGCAAAACCTACTCACTCTCATGATTTAAAGACCAGACCTCTACACTGATGACCCACAAGTGTCTATCGCCAAACCCAGATGTACTTCTTGGACCCACATCTTCACCTCCAACTATTGACTAGGCATCTCCATGTTCATGTCCCAAAGACACATCATACTCAGGATGTTCAAAAACTTCCAGTTTCCCCAGTCCTAAACCATCCTCCTGTGTTTCTATTGCAGTAAATAATCAAAACCATCCTCCTGTGTTCTTGGGTTCAAAGTTTTGGACTTCTCCTCTGCTTCACTCCTATCCTTGAACCAAATCTGATCCCTCTCTATTAAAAGCTCTGTCCTAAGTAAAGTCCTAAACTAACTGAACAGCGTGAAAACTAATCTCCTTGCTTCTATTGTGTATACTTGCCTATCTTCCCAACATAATGTTGCAAGAGGTACCTTCCTTCATATTTTCCTCTCCTGCTTAAGAAGCATTGTGCTCTCCATCCCTTACATACAGAATATAAACTAAACTTCTTGGCTAAATTTTAGGAGTTTGGCCCCTGCCTATATATCTGGCCATTTCTCTTCTTCACTTGCTTCATATGCACTAGCCATCCTGGAACCTTCTGTAACTCACTCTTGCCTCTGCTTATGCTGACCCTCTCTGCCTGGAATGCCCTCCTCCCCGAGATGTCACACTGTGAAGAAGTTCTATTCATCCTTCAAATGTCACCTTACCAAGAGCTTTCCCTGACATTCCCTGATAGAACAGCACTCCTACTCTCCCCATCACTCCGTCCCCTTACTCTGCTTTTTTTTTCTGCATGACACTGATCACCTACTACATAGCTCTTTACTTGTTTAGTGCCTGTGCCCTGGCTATAGAATGTAGACTTCTAAAAAGAGAGCCAGACACGTATTTGGTGCTCAGTAATATTTGTTAAATTAATTCAATTTAATCCTTCAGATACCATTCAATCTCATCTCTTCCTCAGGAGAGAGAGAAAGAGCATTGCCCTTTCAGAGCAAGATCACCGTCTACCTTGCATTACCTGTGTTCCTATATATTTTAACCCCACTAGATTGAAGAGATTGTGGTTTACTCATATTTTTATCTCTTTCAACATAGAATGAACACTCAATACAGGTATATTGAATTGAGCTGATTCCAATGGGAATAGAGCTCTCTGCAAACAATTAAAGCCTTCTGCAATCTATTGAAATAGATTATCTTCAGGATGGTACATTAGGAGGAAAATGAGAGTGACTGAAACTGCAAACGATCTTCACTTTGGGCATCTAGGAATCCAGAAGAGACTTTCTGGACCCAGAAAAACCTGGAATAGCTAGGATCCTTCCTTATTTGGAACCACCAATTTTCAAATTTAATGCTCTGTATATTACTTTTATTTCTACGACACTGGCTGCATCAGTTTTGAGTTGCTGACAAACTCTTCTGTTCCTCCCGCACAGCCACAGTGCATTTCAGAGGGATTTAAAATCTTGAGGTAACACAAATGTTTTTATAAGATTCCTTCAGGCTTTTCAGGAGTTAAAGTGATTTTTTTGTTTTGGGTTTTTTTAATTATTATTTGGTTAGGTTATACTAAGTTTTCAGGGTCATGGCTTTACTCTCATGCTGATACTTTTAGATTGAAGTATAACTTGCTGAGTCTCTTTTTATTTTACAGCCAAACGTTCAGTTGGACTCCATGTGGCTGCTGCATAATGCAGAATTGCAAAAAGTAGAGGGTGAGGACTGTGTCCAGCACATCATTTGGACTGCTTAAACAAGTCTTAGATTCTTCAATATGAAGGAATATTTATTTTTCAGATGACCAGAGTTGTTAAAAAAATCATTAGGCTTTGATTCCACAATGACACAAACATCTTTATGTATATGCATTTGTTTATTTACACACTCAAACAAAAACTTGCTGAAAACCAACTACATGCAAAGCACAACGGTAGACAAAAAGGTAATAAAACATGGTCCCTGTCCTCAGAGAAAATATAATTCCCTACCAAATGTTTTCTTTCTCACAAGCAAGTGAGTTTTATATGGAACATCTTAGTTTTTCTTTTTTAAATCTAATCTAATAGAACCACTATTTTAAGATTATTAACAGATGATGTTTTCAGAATTTTGATGCTAGAGAGATTTAATATTAATAAAGAGGTCACTGCCCTCCAGGATGTGAGTGATTGTGAAAGTCCCTTTCCCCACTAACATTCTTTGATTCAATGAATATTGAACCTCTAATAAAGATGAATAGGAAGATGATATTACAAGCCTTTATGAAGTTGTATGAAGAAACAGTATTATTTAGAGACACCAGGCCAAGGTGGTTTTTGTTTGTTATCTGACACCTTCATAAATATTGATGCTTTTAACTTTGTTTTGTGAAAACATCTTTCATGGTAAGCAAATTTAAAAATCCTAGAGTGTCTCCAGTGCTGCAAATCAAATGGTTCAACACTCTGGGTAAACTGCCTATTGTTCAAACTGTCTAAGCCAATTCTCAAACTTGCATTTATAACAAAGAACTGAATTCCCCTAGATCAAAAATCAATTCCATACTGTATGAAAGTTATACTTCAATTTAAAAAATAAAGATATTTCATTTAAAAAATATTTTTATAAAATTTTATTAAACCAACTGATAGTCAATCAAATATCAATTAATTTAATTTTAATAGCTTACTAAAGCAACTGTATATTACTGGTATATGTGAAGACTTTGGAAGAAATTGGGGCAAAGCATTTTACATTAAATATAATTATTATTTTTCTACATATATAAACTTAGTATTTCTTTAAGATATAAAGTACCTAAGTCTAAACCTCAAGCTACAGTCTGCAAACATTTTTGGTCAGTAATCAAATATTCTCAGTATAAAAGAAATCTGCTGCTATAGATAGTTATCCCTAAGAGAGAGAATACCTTTGGCAAGCCTGTTGTTCCAGATGTGTAAAGAATATACAGCGGATGTTCTGAAAGAACAGGAACACAATCATGTGACTGTGCTTTCGCCATCTCTTCATCCCAATCAAGGTCACGACCGGGAGTCAAGGGAATCATCTCCTACACAACAAAAATATAGGCATACGCACTGAACAGAGGAGATTAAATCAAGAGAAGAGTGAAGAGTGGCTAAATCTATATTAGTCTGAGCATTTGAAAATCTAGGCTTATATAGCACTAAATATCAGGTTTATGACTAAATATCTCAGAACCATGAGTTAAGATAAATGTTCATAAAAAGTCCAACAGTTTGATGTTGACTTCAACTGAACTGACAAAAGAACATGTTTTATTCAAATCTTGGGATATCCTTAAGAAATTCAATGTGATGCAGTCATGTTTTCATCAACTGTCAGAGCTTAACTAACAGAGGTTCATGCTTCCATAAATGTACGTATACTATTAACTTTATAAACTAATTTCTATTTTTTGAACCTATTTTTTTTACTTTGGAAGTACTGTCTTCACAATGAGATGTCAACTAACGCATTAAAATTTCTCTTGATACAAGGGCCATTTAGGAGTAACACTGTGGCCATCTTTCCAAATAAGAAAAAATTAGATTATTTTCAGGAGTGGAAGAGAAATATACTTTTGCTTTTTCACGAAAAAAAATCAGTTTCGAAAGTTAATGAGAGTATGTGACATATCTAAAATGCTATCCAAGTTTTCCTCTTCTAGGTCATTGATTAATATGGTAGAAATGTTTGTTTTCTTTTTTGTTCCTAGAACCAAGCTCCATGTTGTAAACCTTATGGTAACAGAGTCATGAGTTAGACAGATCTACATTATATGAAGTTAGGTAGAAACCTCTTTAATAATAGTGCCAATGAAATAGCCAGATAGGTGCAGAGCAAGGAAATGGCTTATGAAAAAAAATTACTTTAATGTACTTTCTATAATCTATTTAAGTAGAGTTAAGACCCAGTACATGTCTAGTCATTTTCTGAAATGTTAACTCAAGATAACACATTAGAATGTTGACAGTTGGTGAAGTTGTTAGTATAGGCACAAGGTAAGGCTACACATTCCTCAGTGAAAGTTAGTAGATCCACCACCTAGAGAGTGTATGTAACCACTCATTTCATCAAGGTGATCCCTGAGCTATGCCCAGAGATCCAAGGATTTAGCAAAGCCAGGCCATTTCCACTTTTCAGGTTCCTTAATATATTAATCAGGTTGTAAAAAATGGTCATCTATTTAAATAGGTACATTTATAAATTAACATTTCAATATAATATCACGAATACAATGCCTATAATGAATAAACACACTGATAGATAACAATCTTAATTGACCTTCAAGAAGGTGAGGTTTTAGGCCCGGTGGCTTCTCCAGCCTCACTCTGATAGGTCTTGGATGTCATTTAGATAAATAAAAATAGTTAACTGTGACCAAATTGCATATTTCCATTTGTTTTTATGCATCAGATAAACACAACTAATTTCAAATTATCAAGTCTCTGATATCACAATTACAGACTTACAAAAAAAATCATCACACTGCATAATGAAAAATGTCAATTGAGTGATCACAAAAATAATTACAGATCAAATGAAATGAGGACTTGAATGAATGGTTGTTCTTCAGAAATACAGGCATGTGTAAAGAAGATTTGACGAAGGGAAGAGAGAGAAAAAAATCAACATGAGCTTTTACATGCATACATTTACTTCTATAGACATGTCTTTCCTAGTTATCATTCTTAAAAGGCAATCCTAGGGGCCGGCCCAGTGGCTTAGCGGTTAAGTGCGTGCACTCCAATGCTGGCGGCCCGGGTTCGGATCCTGCCAGCCATGCTGAGGCCACGTCCCACATACAGCAACTAGAAGGATGTGCAGCTATGACATACAACTATCTACTGGGGCTTTGGGGGGAAAATAAATAAATAAATAAAATCTTTAAAAAAAAGGCAATCCTGGGAGAGCAGCAGAGGTGACTGAGGGACATTCCTTTGACTCTGTCATTGCTTGCCTGAGGCTTAGGAGTGGCAACCAAGTTTTTACCTCTTCTGGCAAAAAACAATCCTGGTTAATGAGAGGCACTACCAAGCCTCATAATTTGTGTCTCTCTAAACTCAAAGCAAAGCCAGTCCACTGGGCTTAATTACTTCCTAAACAGCAGGTCTAACATGAAGGACAAGAGTCATCCAAAGGCCTCATCTAAAATAAAGATAAGGCAAAGTAGAGGGAAGGGTCTCAAGAAAAAGGGAGAGGGAGAGAAAGTGAGCCAGTTATGGGAGGAGGGGCAGTGAATCTCTTACCTATTAAGAGAGAGAAGAGAGCTGCATTAGGAAAATCTGAACCGGAAGCATTAATATCCATATCCAGTGTGTTTACAAAGTAAAAGAAATAACATATATCTTGTTGGTTAAAAGTCATGAAACCAGAGTTCAAATCCTGGCTCCACTGTTTATTAGCTGTGACTTTGGGCTATGACCTCTCCATGACTCAGTTTCTTCATCTATTAGAAAGGGCCAGTAATAGCATCTATGTCATTGGTTTGTGAGAACTGAATAAGAAGTATCTGAAAGTACTTAGCATTGGGCCTAGTGTAAGTTCTTTATAAATTCTACATGAATTCACACATGTGTGAATAGTACAAACATACTCACATAAACACTTGTGTGTGTGTGTCCCTGCCCTTCCTCTGACCTTCTTACCCAAAACCTTCTTTATTGCTGACTTTACATTCCCTGATTTAAAAGGGCCTTTTTAAAAAATATGCTTGAGGTCATCTGAAAGAAACTTAAAATTCTTCTTCAATACAGTGAGAATATTAAAATCATTGAGTGCCGCAGGTCATGAACCACAGACTACTAAAACTTTACACAGGAATTTAATGTAGTAATGGGAATTGCTAGGTGGTAATCAAAATGACAGTTTTAATGCTCACTGTTTTTATATCTTGTCATTTAAGCATTTTCTGCAGATAACCTCTCAAGTGTGCTACAAAATTATATACATGAGTTTTGCACTCTTATACTTTTTCTTCTGCAAAAAAATTTTAATCTGCTAGAAACCCAAGTGGATTCCATTATAAATAGCTGGAGACTTGCTTGGATGTAGAAATAAGGTGATCATTAGGTCAAATTTACTAGGAAAAGCATTTTAAAATATATTCATTGATGTATTATATTGCTTTTTCTTCTTTCATGGATCACAGAATACTTTACGTTTCGAATATTCATATTTTGTTTTCCTGAAAATATTTTTTACTTCTGGACTGAATACCTTTCTAAAATTTTTAGAAGACATTTTACATACAAATTAATCACACTTCACCACAAGGCAGGATGGCTGGGGGTTTAAGCGTGCAGTCAATGTGTGAATGTGCATGCATTCAGATCATGACCCTGACCCTTACTAGCTGGGCAAGTTACTTACCTCTCTGTTTATTGGATTCCTCTTATTTAAAATAGGAATAATGCTATCTCCTAGCTCATAGAGTTATCAGGAAGATTTTAAAAATTATCCACTAGTGGAGTGTCTTAAAAATCATACAGTAAGCAGTCTAAGTGTTTGATAGTATTAATATTATTGTCACAATTTAAATTAATAATTGACACTACCACAGACTGTACATAGAATCCAATTCATTAAGATGGATGTTTCTGTGTTTCAATCTTTTTGTTTTAAGCTAGTTTTTCATAAAGACAAAAAATATCATTCAAATCCTTTTTTTGCCAAAAATAATGACATTCAGGAAGTATATTTAATGGTTTATAAACCAAGCGTTTCTTTCAAATGGTCAAAACTAGAATCATCCTTAGCACATCACCATAAGCAAGAACTAAACTCAATATTGAGATTACCATTTTTGGACGATTATAAATGAGAATTTTATTTGGTTTGTGTTGTCCTATTCTCAGCGCCTCTTCTATAAGTGGTACGTATTCTACCCTCCTTCCAGGTTCAATGCCAAATGATGCTGTAACAACCAACTTGGGCTATAATGAAAAAAAAATAATTGAGTAAACTTAACAATCTTAATTAAGGTAATCACAATATTTCAGGTGCAGACTGGCAATTTAACATTTCTTTAGAATGATTCTGTTCTCTATTGAATAAATGGCCTGAAAATCAATAAACCCTTTTTAAATGTTATAGGCTTTAACCCTAACCACTTCCACGTAAATTTCACTTACCTGTTCAAAATTGCACACTCGATGTTTTTGGCTAATAAGGATGAGCTGTTAAAAAATACTTTCCAAAGAATTCATGAAGGAGGTAGATCTGCCATGAACCAGAGAAATGCAGAGGCCCCTGTAACAGCTGGTTGTTGCTGCAGTTGTAGCATTTCTTAGCTGGGCAGGGCCAGCCCGGTGGCCATCAGAAAGCATTTCTAATTTTTTTTACATAAGCATCTATGCTTAAATGCCTCAAGAGACCACACAAGGAAGGGACTCAAATCTCCCATAATTCTTTTATGATTCTTTTCTCATTCTAAATACATATTCATTTTCACCAAATATTATATTTGTAATTTTGTCATATTTTTCTTAAAAGGGCCCCCAGATGATTTAAGTGTCAAGCCCCACAGAGCCTGAACCTGTCCCTCTCCCTAAGGCACACTTGGCACTCTTTACCGACAACTTCCTAGTCATTCTTCAAGACAAACGCAGATGTAGCCTAACGGTGTCCCCTAGAGGTTAATCTCCTTGCTGGGAACATTCTGGGCAGGCCTCAGATGTCTCACTGGAGTCAAAATATTCCTTCATCCCCACCACTGCACAGCTCTCCAAGGCCAAATTTGGATCCCACTTATCTCTGTGTTTCCTATGCCTGATACAGTGCTTGCCATACCATAAGCTCTCAATGAGTATGTGTGGAACTGAACCAAAATTCTCATTAATTTGTAGAATAAACATGTTTTCATTCTTTAAGTACACAGTTTTTTCACCAAGAAATCCAAAGCAAAGGAGACAGATGATAAATTATTCAGGAGACAGGTAATCAATCCAAGACAGTGCATCTATTCCTGAATTCTGATTTCTGGTTACAGTACATTTCATCTAGGGAAGGTTTATATTATGCCAATATATGCATATATAGTACTTTCTGCTTTTTGAATATCACTTAATATTCATGGCGCTGCGGCTCAGTGCAGTTACAAAGCTTGCCCCAGGTTACAAGTGGTGGAATCAGAAAGAGAGCCAATTCTGTCTGATTACAGAACCTTTCTCTTTCCACAATATCAAGCTGCATTTTAAAAGAAAAAAATGGAATGAAAAATAAGTCTTGTTTCCTTTTATTATATTTTTAAAGGTCAGACATTCAAATATAATTCACATTTTAATATCTGTAATACTTACAAAAATAACTCTAGATAATATTCTCCAAGTTTAGAATTCTGAGTAAATGAAAGTAAGTTATATATCAAATTAAAAACATATATAGAATATATCAAAACTTCAATAATTTAATAAAGTCGAAATTGGATTCTTCCTCTAGAAAAATAATCCTTTTCCCTTTTCTATTAATAGAATTATTGGAGGTTTTATTTGGTCTAGACTGACTTTTTAGGATACATTTTTCCTATCTTTATCTGTTAAAATAAAACTTTTTCTTCAGCCTATTTATTTGAAAATCATGACATCAAAATCATTCCTGATTTCAATTATTAATTCTATCCAAATATCTCAGATATGTGTCTCTCTCTTCAACTTCTGGCCTTTAATCTGACCTGCCCAAAGGTCTCGCCCATAAGAATATGCACTGATTGCCTAAAGTCCGTAACAAGATTATGTATGTGATTGTGTGTGTGTGTGTGTGTGTGTGTGTGTGTGTGTTAGGAATGAAAACTCCTCCAGTGGTGTAGCGTAAGTTTTATAAATCTTTATTTTTTTTATATATATCAATTTTCCCACATCGTATAAAATTTTTAAAAGAGGAAATAATACATCTCATACCTTTATCCAAGTAGTGTTTATGATTTCTGTAGCTAAAAACCTGGAGTCTATAGCTTCGTCAGAGAAGTCCCCAACTGCCCACTGATTTGCAGGTCAATGACTGATTGCTATTTCCCCTAGATTTTCCTTCAAAAGCACTAACTCAACATATTTAAAAGAGAGGAAAAAAAAAGAAGGAATCCAGCTGGTTAGTCCACAAACCAGCGTCCCAGTTCTAATAACTGATCTATTACCAGATGAAGTCAGAAATGTAAAACCGCACTCTATGCCCAGCACTCAGGGGACCCTCAACGTATGTTAGTTCCCTTCCTTGTTAAGAATGTCTCATCCCAGGCTTGTAAAGCTCTAAAGGGCAACCATCTCTTACTCCTGTAACGACCTTCCTTCCTTAATCTTCCCGCTACTATTCCTCTCCTGCACGTCGCCCACTGCTTCACAAACTGACCACCTGCCAAAGGTTCTTATTCCAGCCTCTAGCCTCTCGCCTACTCACATCATATTGCAAGACTTGCCTCCTCTTAACATTGCACAAAACATGACACTCATCTGCTCAACACCTTTGACTGGTCCAGGTCTACAGGATCCAGTTCAGATGAAAACTGCCTTTGCAAGTTCACCTTCTCTCCCTCTTCAGTCGCATGGGTCTATTTGCTGTCCTCCAAATGCACTTCACCCTTTTCTGCCTCTGACGCTAGACTCATATTCTTTTTCTCTCCTTTTGGGTTCCACGATATCATTCTCTCAATGAGCTGAATCTTAGCCAAGATAACTCTCACCTCTTTCAGAAAGCCTCCTTCGGCCACCCCAACTAAAAGCAATCACTCCTTCTTCTAAATCAGGGGTCTGCAAACTACGGTTGAGAGCGAAAACCTGCCCACAGCAAGTTTCTGCAAAGTTTTCCTGGGATACTGCCATGCCCTTCGTTTATGCAGTATCTAAGGCTGCTTTCCGCTACAACAGCACAGCTGAGTATTTGCAACAGAGACCATGCAACCCGCAATACCTATATCTGGTAACTCACAGAAAAAAGTTTGTTGATCTCCACTCTAATTCATAGAAGAACAATAGCTAACCTTTTGTAAATGAGTACTACATGCCAGGCACTGTGTTAAGTGTTTTAAATTGAATATCTCAGTGAAAGTTCACAACAGCTTTATCAAGTTTGTTATTTTAGTACCCCATTTAATTATGTAACTCCACCCCTCCCTGACACCCCTTCTTAAGGACTGTGCTATACCACCATTCCAGGAAGTATGTAGATTATAAACTAGCTATGTGTACCATCCATTTGATAAGTATCATTTATTACCCAGTTCCAAGATTAGTATCAGGCACATAGTGGAAGCCTAATAAATATATGTTGAATGAATAAGTTATTAGTTATTTTTCTTGTGTGTCTTATACACCCAAATATATGGCAAGCTAACTTGAAAGGCATGCACCCTATCTTATATTTTATATTCCTCACAGCATTCAGCAAGATGTCTTTCACACACGGACTGACTCAATAATAAACTTTTGGTTAATCAATATATGCCAAAGAAAAAGTACACTTGAAGTATCCCATTCGAAAGGAGGATCTAAGAAGCACAGCTCGCTCCTGGATGATTCACCCACAGATAAATATGGCTGTACTATTTGACTTCTCCAAATAAAGCACTTACCTTTGCATGATCAATGCGACTACTTAGTTCTTTGGATGCAAATCCCCCAAATATGAGACTGTGGATGGCTCCTATCCTTGCACAGGCCAACATGGTGTACATCGCCTGCGGGATCATGGGCATGTAGATAACCACTGTGTCGCCTTTCCCGACACCATGCTTGACCAAAACACCAGCCAGCTTAGAGACCTATAATAAAATCACTAGATTAGCAAACTGTTTTCTGTGTTATTTCACTAAACTTCTAAGTTAGGCAGTAATGCAAGAAGGTGATCACCCTCCTGGTGGTGGATTAAAAAAGCCAGAGTAACATGCATTTGACAATGATGGTAAGAGTTTAGATAGTGACAATAATAACAGACATCTGTATTATAATAATTGACTACAAACCAACTTACTATTATTACGCCATATGAACTTCACGGCTTAACTTTGCTTAATTGTTCATTTAACAACATATTTACTGAGAAACTATCATGAGCCAGACATTGTATTTAGAGCTGAGAACACAACATTGAAAAACAAGGACACAGACATGCCCCTGTGGAGCTTTTATTCCAAAGGGTGTATCTGCCAAGTGAACAGAAAGATAAAATAATTAGAATTTAAATATATATTGGTTTAACTGTTGAAGGAAATAAACATGTATTAAGAAAGAAAATATATATATATATATGTATATATATATATGGGGTCGGCCCGGTGCCGCAGTCAGGGGTTTGCAGGTTCAGATCCCGGGCGTGCAGCGATGCTAAGGCTTGTCAAGCCATGCTGTGGCGGCGTCCCATATAAAGTAGAGGAAGATGGGCACAGATGTTAGC